CTCCAGAAAAACAGAACTGACAAGATGCACATGTGTGAATGAGTGTGTGTGGGGGGGGGAGAGAGAGAGAGATTGAGAGATTGATTTACTTCATTGAACTGGCTCTTGTGATTCTAGAGACTGGCAAGTCCAAAGTCTGCAGGGTGGATTGACTGGCAAAATCCCCTATTTCCCTGGGGCACCAGTAATTTTTCCCTTAAGGCCTTCTTCCTTCATGGAGGGTCCTCTGTTTTGCTCAGTCTGCTCATGTAAATGTTAATCTCATCTAAAAACCACTTTCACAGAAACATGTAGAATAATGTTTGACCACATTTCTGGTACTGTGGCCTAAGTTGATGCGTAAAGTTGCACATTACAGCACTCCTAGGTGTCCAGTATCTGTTGGGGCTGACTGATCTAGGCACAGAAAGGGCACAGACTTGGTTCCAGAATCTGTGTCTGTCATCATGTGATAAACCCTGGGAAGGATCCCCAGTCCTCGGTGCACCTCTGAACTGAGATGGGAGAGGAAGGAACCATGGAGTAGCTTTCCTCCTTTTGAGCCCACCAGAGCCAGGAGAGAGCCTTGTCCCCTCTCTCTGCCCCACTCATTGCAGACAGACAGCCCGGGTCCTCACCTGTTTCCTGGGTGACCACAGGGGGAGAAGGTACCAGCAGTGACCTTTGTTGGGCCTGATGAGCGTTACACCAGGGCAGATGGGTGAGGATGCAGGTCCTGCACATTAGGTCATGTCATCCATTCATTCATGCAACAAATATTTATTGAACACCTTCTATGTGTTAGGCGCTGATCTAGGGACAAAAGACACAGCAGTTACTGGAATAGCCCACCCTGCTACCCTTGGAAAGCTTACATTCTAGTGGAAGGAGATAGGCAACAAATAGGGAAAGCTATGTGGTAGGGCAGATGGTAAATTCAATAGAATATTAGGGGATATGCAGGCTGTTGTAGGTATGCTGGTCAGAGAAGGCCTTGACGCCTTAGGTTCTTAGTGCAACTCTGTCAAAGAGCTGAAGGAAGTCAAGGAGCAAGCCAGATGGATATCCAGGGCACAGTGTTCCAGGAATGGGGATCAAGCCTGAGGACCAAACTTGCTTATCATTTCTAAGGAACACCAAGGAGGCTGGTATTTCTCACATGAAAGCATCTGGGGTTAGGGAGATTAGGGAATTGGTATAGCTCCACAAAGTCATTAAAGATATTTCTTCTGCTCTGCCATCTTCGGCAGGTGATACAAAGAGACTACTGGAACTCCAACCAGCACACCATAGTTCCAGCCTAGCAAAAGGAGAAAGCAAAGAGGTGATATGAATTAAATAGTCTGGGGCTGAGACTTACCAGTTTTGTTAGATCAAGCTGTGTGACACAGGCTTAAGAACCCCTTGAAAAAATTCATTCTATTATATCTCAATCAATATAGATAATCAAAGACATTCATTCACTTTTGTCTCTGAGGAAACTATGGTACACTTTTACTGCATTACCTCAGAGATTTCCAGGTATGCTGTCATGTCCTGTGAGTCCCTGATCATCTTGACAGAACTTCATGGATGGTTGTTGTGTTATGAGTAGGAACTAGCAAGCACTGAAGGACTCATGCTGGCCAGAAGGAGAGAGGAATCCCCCCTCCAACATCTGGAATCTCAGGGAGCTGCCACACAAGGTTGTTTTTTTTTTTTTTTAATTTTAGCAGCCTGGGACATGTTGGGATATCCCTCTAAGATGAGAAATGTGTTGCTTCACCTTGCATAATCCATCATGGAGTAAGAGGCTTAGTGGTTAATGGGTCTCTTTGGATTTTTGAGGCAATGCATAGAACATGTTGTGTGCCTATCTGATGCATTTGCTGGGTGTGTCATATTGCTGCTGGTTTTGAATGGGGCCCAGAGTAGCAAAGGGCTCTAGAACAGGTCGGTACTATGGCGTAAGATATTCTGCCATTTAGGCCTAAAGAGTCAGAAGACCTCTGGTATTGGAGTGTCTGTGGCAGATGAGGATGCTGTATGGAGCTTCTACTCATCCTCAGAAGGAGAATTTCAATGCTTACCTCACTGTGCAACATTGGAAGCCTGCCCACTAAATGCCAGCCAGAGGGCACCACTGCAGAAACAGTTCTCAGTTATCAGGTGGATGAGGTGATCCAGTCTTGGGTGCCACAGCTCTTTCCCTGTCCACTGTGGGTTTGTTCAATGGCACCATGAACAAAGTGGCCATAGTGGAAGGGATAGAGGCTATATGTGGACTCAATAACATGGACTTTCCCTCACCGGGTCTCAGCGTTTTCTATCACTTTGGATTTGCAATGGGGATGAAATTTCATCAGCATATGGTCACTTAAGAACCTACAGGAAAAAAAGGCCTACAGAACTACATGCCTTGGAAGGATCTAACACCCCAGTCATCTGCAGAGGATCTCCCTCTGGCCTTGCCTTAACCACTGGGCATTCAGTAACAGACTTTAGACAGGTGACCTCTCAAGGGCAAAGCCTCTCAAGGCCACAGCTGTCCTAGCAACCTTGATCTTTTTGCTGACTTTTCCTTCTCCCTTTTGAGTAGGACTCAAAGTCAAGGGTTATCAGGAGGCCAGATCATCTACAGCTTGTTTTGCAGATTGAGTGAAACTACACTGATTAATCTGAAGAGAACTGCCATTTTTATGATATTGAGTTTTCTTACCCTTGAAAATGACTTTTCAATAGTTCTGCGGAATAGGAGTATTTGGAAAAAAGATGAAGCATATTAGATAAGGCAAGGTCAGGAAAATCCCTGAATACTAAATTCTAAATACTCAGGAGTTTGAAATATATGCTGTGGCCAGTGGGTCTTAATTAGGGGTGATTTTGCCCCCAGAGGACCTTTTTCAATGTTTGGAAACATCTTGTTTTCACACAGGAGGCTGGCAGGAGTCATATTAGAATCAAGTAGAGGCCAAAGAAGCCGGTAAATGTCCTACAGATCACAAGACAGCCTTCCACAAGAAAGGATTATCCATTCCCAAATGTGACTAGTGCTGAAGTCTAAAAATCTTTCTGCAAACAAGGAAGTGGTAAAGTGACATCATATGGGGATGGGGGTGTTTATCAGGGATTGAACTCAAGGGTGCTTTACTATTGAGCCACATCCCAACCCTTTTTATATTTTATTTTGAGGCAGGGTTTCACTAAGTTGCTTAGAGCCTTGCTAAGTGGCTTTGGACTTGCAATCCTCCTGCCTCCATCAAGCTCAGTTTGACATCAGTTTTGACTTTGTGAGACTGGATGAACTGGTGTGAAAAGTGATAGAGTCAGAGACACAGGTAATGAGGTGTCCTGGAGTCAGGGATCTGAATCAAGGCGGTGGAGAAGAGAAAGTAGACTTAAGAGAAGATTCAGAAATCAAATCATTACTGAGAGGAAAGAGGGGTCTGGCTTAACTCTCAAGTTTCTAACTGTTTGCTGTGGGATATAGTGGTACATATCTCAAGACTGGAAACTGAGGGCTGGGGATGTAGCTCAGTTGGTAGAGTGCTTGCCTTCCATGCACAAGGCCCTTGGTTCAATCCCTAGCATCAAGAAAAAAGAAAAAAAAAATGGAAAGGGAGGAAGAGGCTGAAAAGGAGGCAAGAGAATGAATTCAGTTGCATGTTTCAGCCAACCTGGTAGACATTCATTTATTCCTTCATAAATTATTGAGTCTCAGCTGTGATTATAAGTGCCAGGGCTTAGTTAGGAACAAGATTCATGGAACTGACATTCTAGTAAGAGAAATAGATAAGCCAAGTGCAGTGTCACATGCCTGTAATCCTAGCACTCAGATGGCTGAGGCAGGACAATTGCAAGTTCAAGGTGAGACTCAACAACTTAAGTAACTCAGGGAGACCTTGTCTCTAAATAAAATATAAAAAAAGAGCTGGGGATGTGAATCAGGAGGGAAGAGCCCCTGGGTTCAATCCCTGGTACCAAAAAAAAAAAAAAAGAAAGAAAGAAACAAACAAACAATAAATTTACTATCTATGCATACATATAACCCACCGATCTGGGGAGATATACAGGCAGTATTTAGATTATGGATTGGGTTGCCAAGAAATACACAGTTGCACATACAGATTTGAGAGTTACAAACATAGGGTTGATAGTTGAAACCGGAGTAGAAAACACTGCCCAGGGAGAGAGTATGAATTCCTATGGGTAGAATCATTTCTACCCTACAATTTTCTCCTCATGCATTTGTGCAATTGTGCAGTCTACGTTTTAGGTGATATCAGCTATGCACTGCTACAGTAATTAGATGCAATAAACTACGTGAAAACGTAGTAGATTCCCAAAAGAGAAAAAAAGAAAATATGGAATAGATTTTGGAATGGTTGGTTACAAGCAGCAGTTAAGGGGAATAACTTAGAGGTACATTTTTCATCACACAAGATGATTCTCCACCTTTAGCCAGATAGGATTATGAAATCTGCCTCTGGCCACTTTGGAGCTAGAAGCCAAAGAATAGGTGAGCGCAGGAGCCAGGCTACAGCACTCAGCGCGAATGCCAAGACAATCCGCTTTGCTAACACCTGCTATACGTGGACCATGGAGTGTGGCCCTTGTGGATGATGACACGGAAAGATCATTTATATATAGTAGAAGAAACTGAAAGCTGGAGAAGGATGAACAACTAACTAGGTCATGGCAATAAGGTATGAAGGTGCGAATCATACACCGAACTGTAAAACTAACTTGACTGCTGTCAAAATACACCAGAATTTAAGCCATCAATCAAGATAGGCAGAGACCCTCATTAATCTGGTTACTTAAAATTTACCACGGGCGACTAGAACATGCACATTCGGGTGCCCTCCTTTTAAAGACGCGCCAACATAAATAAAAAAAAAAAATAAACAAACAAACAAAAAACCTTCGAGCCTAGAACGAAAGAAAGAAAAGAAAGAAAGCTCCAAGAACCAATACCAAAGGAGCGCGAATTCTCGCGAGAATGTATCAACCTCGCGTAGGCGCCGCGCCACGCGCGAGCCAAACTCTCGCGAGAACGTCTGCTACTTCGTAGAGACTTGGCGCGGCCGGAACGCCTGGGATATGGCCCGGCTGGTGCCGGCCTGGACCCGGTTGGACAAACAGCAAGAGCGGGACGTGCGAGAGCTCATCCGGCGTGTGTCTGGTCTCCATGACGAGGCAGATCCCAACTTCCAGCTGGCCCTGAACTTCGCCTGGTCCAACTTCAGGTGTGCGGCATGCGAGCCCTGCTCCTGGGTCCTGGCTGCCCGCCGTCGCCGGGGCCGCCTGCTGGGTCGCGGCGGTGCGTTCGGCTGGGCGGCTGGACAGTGGAGGGTGGAGTGGGCGCGTCCCTCTAGGGGAACCCTTGCGGGCGTTGCTGCTTACTGCGGCTGCTGTTGCGCGGCGCCCAATTGTCTCCTGGGTCCCTTTCGCGGATGACACGCAGTTTAAACGGTGAATGGGTCATGAAGTGTGGGCCCCGTTAGCATTGGTCGCGCTTCAAGCGAGTGGGTCTGCTTCTGTTCTCTTCCCTGCTGTCCGCACCGCGCTTAGCGCAGTACGCTGCACATCAAAAATAATTGTTTTGAATGGATGGGTAAGTGGATTTTGGAGCTGTTTACCTTTGTCTCCCACATCTCCATCTCCAGATAGAATGTAAGTAACCAAGAACAGTTATTGGCACATCCTGTGCTAAGTCATTACTACAGTTTTTAATTATGGGTTCTCTTATAAGTAGTTCTTAAGATTTATACATTTTAGATAGGTGGAGTCGCATCTCCTGTTTTCCTTTATGGAAAATGTAAATTAGACAGTACTGTTATGATCATTACCATAATGGAATTATTGCTAAAAGAATGTCAATGTTAACATTCTATCTATTTAATTTCAGTAAGAACAATTCTATATGCTGGGGACTGAAACTAGTGCCTCATGCATGCTAAGCTCAAGCTCTACTACTGAGATTCACCTCCAGCTCACAAAAATCTTCTTGAATAGTGAATAGTTTTTCAAAATGTTACATAAATTACCTACTTGGTTTATGAGAATTGGGGGCTTTCAGATTCATATAAAGCAAGTCAAATTTATGAAATAAACTCATTTCTGGGGCTGGGGTTGTGGCTCAGCAGTAGAGCGCTGGGTTTGATCCTCAGCACCACATAACATAAATAAATAAATGGAACAAACTCATTTCTTAAATGTAATTTATAAAAATAGCAAAGTTTGAAATAGCTCATCTAGCACAGAAACTTAAATGCTGCCTCCCAAGAAATTTTTCCATTAATATTTTAAATGTCAGTGAACAAATAATCATCATTTTTGAATTGGGAGAGACATAAGAAGTTACTATTTTCTTTTATAGGTTGAGAAACTAAACTATAATAGGTAAAGTGGTGTTACACCCAGCCATTTTCTGGAATAGAATTAGATGTGTTATTAAATAGTGGAATCTACTTTTAAGTACAGATTGCTGGCTTTGCTACTAAACAATGGAAAACCAGACTTAAGTAAGCAGTGGTGCTTTAATAGAAGAAAAATGAATGCATCATGTTTACATTGTTAAAATTGTGATCATTTTCTGAGCCCTTAAAAAGTCAGAAATGAAAGAGGGATACCCTCTATCCTTAAGAAAGACAGAGACAAAAGTTAGTAACATTATGATGTATAGTAGGGATTCTTAACCTGAGAGTCTGAAGAGAATTCAGTTATTTGTGAATTCAGATGAGGGGAAAAAAAAAATCACACTAACCTGCGACTGAAAAGTAAGTTTTTTTCATCAATTTTTTTGTCAATTACGAACGAAGACAACAAACCTTAGTGGTATCAGTTTATCTATGACTTTGTCACCAGTAGAAATCACATTATTTTCATATCATATTACAGTTGTTGCAGGTATTTCTAAATATTGTTTGTTGTTACTTTAATGATAGACCTTGGACTTATTTCTAGATCTTATTATTTAGTGACTTAATCAATAAATAGATCTGTTAATAGATCATAGAGTTTTTAAAATTTGATAACTATATTTCAGTACACTTGGTTTTCTTTGCATTTTGTTTTGTGCATTAAAAAATATCAGTCAGGGCTGGGGATGTGGCTCAAGCGGTAGCACGCTCGCCTGGCATGCATGCTGCCCGGGTTTGATCCTCAGCACCACATACAAACAAAGATGTTGTGTCCGCTGAAAACTTAAAAAATGAATATTAAAATTCTCTCTCTCTCTCTCTCTCTAAAAAAAAAAAAAAAAAAAATCAGGGAAGGTGTCCTTAAGTTTCACTCTGGCATTATAAAGATCAGGAACAAGCTGGGTGTGGCGGTGCACACCTGTAATCCCTACAGCTCAGGAGGCTGAGGCAAGTTCAAGGCCAGCCTCAGCAATTTAGCAAGGCCCTTAGCAACTTACTGAGACCCTGTCTCCATTTAAAAAAAAAAAAAAAAAGCATTTAAAAGGGGCTGGAGATGTGGTTCAGTTGTTAAGTGCCCCTGGGTTCGATCCCTGGTACCAGAAAAAAATTTTGGGGGGGGGGGGGGAAATACCTGATAAAGAATATACTTTACTGGACTTAGACACTTAGACACAGGGTCTTTTGTGAAGACAAAGGAACCAGAAGACGGGGTTGGGTGGCTCGGAGTGCACCTGTGTCCTGAGGAAAGAATGCCTGAGTATTCTCTCAGACATGGTGATTGTTTGCCTGCCTGATGGTGGAGCAGTGGTGATAGAGGTGCACGCTGGAAATGTATAGCAAAATATAGCATACAAGGGGATATGGAGAGCTATGAGGTGACTCTTCTTAGCTGTATGACAAAATTGGCATAAAAAAAAATCACGTTTTATCTTTATTAGATTTCATCGTTTCTTGGATGTCAACAGCCACAAAATAGAAAAGACAATAGAAGGGTAAGTTGGTTCTATATGTATGTGTATATATAGATATATATATTCAGAAATATGTGAATTTCTTATTAATCTTCTTGTTAATGTCTTTATAACCTTTAGTGAATTTTTTAATATATTTTTATATTTTTTTATATATTTTAGAATTTATGAAAAATTTATTATTCATTCTGATCTCAGCAAAGCTGCTAGTTGGAAGAAATTAACTGAGGAATTTCTAAATTCATCACTTCCCAGCATAAAAGAAATAAAGGTATGCTTCCAATTATGAGATCTCCATTGTATATTTCACATTTTTTCAATCTGATTATTGTCAGCTTATTTTTGTTAATATTTAATCATTCATTCTATTTTAGTATTATCCACTAGCTAGAACGTGATCTCCTGGAAGTTGACTTAAATGTTGCCATCAAATAAGTTTGCTTCAGGTTTGTTATGAAAAGAAAAAGCGTCTTCTTATTTATTCATCTTCTTGCCTTCAACGTACCGTGGCTATCAAGATCCACGATTGGTACAAATCATAGCACTTTCTGGATATCTTAAAACTTCCAAATGGCTTCTCGGCATTTGGTAACAACTGCATATTCTTATTTAGTAGATGCCAGATACACTTTGATAGTGTGTCATTGGGCCTCAAAAGAACAATGATTTGCTAGAAGTATTCACAGAACTCAAAAGCTGATATCCTCACTGTTTTTAATGGCTTATTGCAGTGACAGGATTCAGGATAAACTCAGCAAAGGGACAAGGTACATAGAGCAGAAACCAGCACAAGCCTCAGGTGTCCCTTCCCAGTAGTCACACAGGGATGCACTTAATTCTTCTAGTAACAGTGCATGACAACATGTGTAATTTGTTGCCAACCAGGGCATTCACCTGAGGTTTGGTGTCTAGGATTTTTATTGAGGTCGGTCTTGGAAGCATGCAGTGCCCATATGGCTGCCCTTAACTACTCAGACTCCAGCCCCCCAGAAGTCAAACTGAGGACCTCTGGCACATGAAACAGACATTTACATTAATTCACATTGTTAGCATTAACTGTGGTCACACTGATAGAGCATGGTCCAAACTTTTGGCAGACACACTCTTCTTAGCAGAGTCCTCTGAGGGTTTAATTGGGGGGGCTGGGGTTGTGGCTCATTGGTAACGCGCTTGCCTAGCATACGTGAGGCACTGGGTTCGATTCTTAGCACAACATACAAATAAATAAAATAAAGGTCCATCAACAACTAAAAATATTAAAAAAAAAAAAAATAGGTATCTGCCAGGAGCCCATCTAGGGTCATCGGGGATGCGGGATATTAAGGGGTTAAGCAACCTATACCTACTCAGTTAACCTTTTTACTGCTCACATATTCACTCATTTAATCTTCACAATAACCTCTGATGAATTTTCTATTATTGATAGGCTTTCTTATTTGTTAACACTGTAGAAATTGGTATCATACAGAAGAGAGATTTAAGACTGAGATGTCAGTGGTAGAGGGCTTCCCTGGTACACTTGAAGCCCTGGTTTGATCCTTAGCACCACAAAAAAAAAAAAAAAAGAGAGAGAGAGAGAGAGAGAGCTTTAGATAATTTTTAGATAATTTTTTTATATAATTTTTTAAAAATTTTCTATCAGTTTAAGGAAATGGTTCTAAAGGTATTTCAGGAAGAAAGAGGGAGTGGAAGTGTTTTGAATCCATGCCCTAAGGACTAGAAACGCATTTCTATGCACTTTAGTCTAAGGACCACTTGGGAAGAGGAGGTAGATCTTTTTTAGATACCTTGACTAATTTTACTTCCTAAGTAGACTTTATGTGTTAGTCAGCTTTCTATTGCTGTGGAAATTTTCTCAGAAAAACTGAGAAATTCAGTTTAAAGGAGGAAAGGTTTATTTTGGCTCACAGTTTCAGAGGTTTCTGTCCATGATCAGTTGGCTCTATTGCCTTTGGGCATGTAGCAAGGCAGTATGTGATAGGCAAATTGCACCTGATAGAGGAGGCTACTCACCTTGTGGCCAGGAATCAGAGAGAAAGAGAGGAAGAGCCTAGGGCCCCAGTATCCCTTTCAAGTGCATGCCCCTAATAACCAAACTACCTTCTACTTGGGCCCACCTCCTAAAAGTTCCACCACCTTCCATAAACCCCATAGGCAGATGACCAAGCCTTCAACACATGACTTTAGGGGACAATTAAGAAACAAACCATAACACTGTAGAATGGAATAATTTAGGTGTCATTACACTATAATATGAATATAATGGCAAGCTTTTTTGTAGCACGTACAATGTCCTAAGCAGTGTTTATCCCATGGAAGACCATTTTCAATGTGTATTATTAATATCCCCATTCCAACACAGCAAATGTTTCAATCTCAGTTTAATTTAAATTAAAATACAGTCACGTGTCCCTTAGTGACAGGGATGCATTTTGAGAAATGCATCTTTATGTAGTTTTGTCATTGTGTGAGTGTTGCAGAATAAAGTAACCTAGGTGGTACGGTCTTACTGCTCACATAGGCGATATGGTTTATAGTTTGTTGGCTATAAACCTGTACAGCATGTCAGTGTGTGTACGGTAGGTAACTTGTCATGATGGTTTTTATGTATCTAAACTTATCTAAACAAAGAAAAGGTCCAGAAGAAATATATATAAAAATTTTAAAATGGCACACTTCTATAGGACACTTGCCATGTATGGCGCTTATAGGACTGAAAATTGCTCTGAGTGTATAAGTTGAGTGCGTGGTGAGTGAAATGAGGGCCTAGGACATGATTGTGCACTACTGTACACTTTATACACTCAGTACATTTAGGCTACATTACATTTATAGAAAAAAGTTTCCTCAATAATAAGTTGACCCAGCCAGGCACGTGGCTCTCGTCTATAATCCCAGCGGTTAGGGAGGCTGAGGTAGGAGGATGGCTAGTTGAAAGCCAGCCTTAGCAACGGAAAGGTGCTAAGCAACTCAATGAGACCCTGTCCCTAAATAAAATACAAAATAGGGCTGGGGATGTGCTTCAATGGTCAAGTGCCCCTAAGTTTAATCCCTGGTACCCCCCACTCAAAAAATAATAAGTTGACCTTGAAGGCATTGGGGTACACACCTATAATTCCAGTGACTTGGGAGGCTAAGACCCTCTCAAAATAGAAACAGAAAAAAAAAAAGAAAAACTTAGGATATAAAGAAAGAAAAAACTTTTGTAAGGTAGTGAACTATATTTGTGTTTTAAGCTAAGTGTCACTACAAAACAGTCCATTAGAAAAAATTAAGAGGTTTATAAAGTAAAAAATGTTACAGTAAGACCCGGTTAACTTTTTTTTTTTTTTCTTAAGTCCTGGGAATTGAACCCAGATCTTCTCTGCCATTAAACCACATCCCCAATACTTTTTATTTTTGGTATTGGTGATTGAACCCAGGGGTACTTTGTGTGGGACATATGACTTCATTCCTTTTTGTTTGAATTGCTGGTTTATATGGTAAGCTTAGGTTTAACCTTTTAAGAAACTGCTAAATTGTTTCTCAAAGTTATCTTGTCATTTTACATTTCTACTAGAAATGTATAAGGGTTCCAATTTCTCCACATCCTTCCTACACTTGTTATTGTCTCTCATTTTGAGAGACAATATATTACTCCCTAGGAGTATGTAGTACTATCTCAAGTGGTTTGATTTACCTTTCCCTAATACCTAATGATGTTGAAAATCTTTTCAAGAACTTTTGAGCTTTTTAGCCAAATGTATGTTTCCTGTGGTGTCCATTCAAGTCTTTTGCCCAATTTTAAATGGATTATTTTGTCTTATTGTCTTATCAGAGTTGCTAGTTGCTTACATATTTTTCATGCAAGTTCTTTATCAGAAAAATTATTTATAAATATTTTCCTCTAGTTTCTAACTTGTCTTTTCACTTTTTTTTTTTTTAAGTAAAAAGTTTATAAATTTTAATGGAGTACATTTTGTTAATTTCTTTTATAGCTTATGCTTTTGGTATTTTATCTAAGAACTCTTAGCCTAACCCAAAGCCATCAACTTTGAAGTTTTATGTTTTTAGCACTTGCATTTAGGTCTGTGATCCGTTTTGAGTTAATTTGTTGTATATGTTGTGAGAAAAGGGTCTAAATTAACTTTTTCTTTTCTTTTTTACATATGATTATACAATTCTCCCAGTACCATTTGTGAAAAGGTTATCATCTATCAAATTGATTTGGCACTTTTGTCAAAAACAAAATAAAAATTTTTTTAAAATATAAGGATAGGGATTGGAGATGTAGCTCAGTGGTAGGCCACTTGCCTAGCATGCCCAAATTTCTGTCCCCAGGAACATACACACACACACACATACACACACACAGAAGTAAAGATGTATTGCTGGATTCTGAATTGTTTCATTGTTCTGTATACCTATCTTTATTACTTCATAGTAAGTTTTTCACTTGGGTAATGTAAGTCCTCTGTCTTAATTTGTTTAGGCTGCTATACCAAAATACCATAGACTAGGTGGCTTTTATAAACTATAGAAATTGATTTCTCGTGGTTCTGAAGGGTAGAAATATAAGTCAAGGCCGTGGCAGATTTGGTATGTGGTGAGGCTGCTTCCCAGTTTACAGTTAGTCATCTTCTCTCTGTGCTCTCACCTGACCGAAGAGCTGAAGGATTCCCAGAGCCTTCCTTATTAGGACACTATATCATTCAGTAGGGCTCTGCTTTCAAAGGCCCCAGTTCCTAATCCCATCACTGTGGAGGTTAGGATTTCAACACGAATTTCTAGGGGAACATAAATGTTTAGACTTAGCACCCGCTGCTGAACTCTGGAACATGCCTGTAACCCAGCAACTTAGGAGGCTGAGGCAGGAGGATTGCCAAGTTCAAGACCAAACTCAGCAATTTAGCAATGCCCTCAGCAATTTGGTGAGATCCTGTCTCAAAATAGAAAAATAAAAAGGACTAGGGCTGTAGCTCAGTGGTAAAGTGCCCCTGGATTTAATCCCCAATACCAAAATAAACAAACATCCTCCAGCTTTGTTCTTTTTTTAAATTGTTTTATCTCTAATGGACCTCTTGAATTTCCATGTACATTTTAAAATATTCTAAATTTCTACAAAAAGCCTGCTAGAATTTTTGTAGGGATTGTGTTGAATCTCTAGATTAATTTAGAAAGTACTGCCATCTGTTATGGGTTGAATTGTGTCCTCCAAAAAGATATGTAAAAGTTCTATCACCTAGTACCTATGAATGTGGTCTTATTATAGGGTCTATGATGATGTAACAA